TAATTGTATAACACGCAGTTCAAACTATTTTCCATTTCCATTATTTTCAGTTCCATTTATTGACGCTCTGTTCACCCCAACGCGAATTATCGTCGGGGACAGTCTTTGGATTATTGCGAAAATATTAAACGTTTAATATTCTACTACATGACTGTCCCCGACAACAAATCGCATGGGCGCGACGTCGCACGACGCTGTCTCAGTTGGCCTTTATTACATGCATATCATATTACACTTAAATTTGGGCAATTCACATAAAACAAGATGGTGATGACAGAGCTGTCGGTAAGTGGGTCTTCCTGTGGTGTTGTCATATACATTGTTTTTTTCTCTCCCATATGCAACTGTTCTACTGTATTCATTATCTAGCGCTAGAGGCAATTATGTTTGAGTGTCTATCAGCTGCTTTATACAATTTGTTGCATTTATATATCAAAACTATGAAAAAATAAAACAATATTCACAGTATTAAAACAGACCATGCTCCTAATCTAATGATACATCATATTGTAAACACTTTTTATTTGTTATGTGTTTAATCCAATTACACACCTGTGTGTGCAGTTGATAGCAAAGAATTAAATTCAACAATACGTAGATCATAATATATGAATGTTTTTTATACAAATAATACATTTTTATTAAAATTAACACCATCATTTAATTTTAAGTCTAATTGCTTCAAGATTTTGGATTGGAGGGTTTTTAAAATGATAGATAACACTAATGTTTTTTTTAATTTAATAAAACAATGCTAGGATGACAATGAATACACAGATATTAGACTTAATAAGTGCATGTTACAGATATAATGCTTTTCAAAATCATTTTCCTCTGCTGAAAACAACCTAAGTTTAAATAACATCCAAAAACTTAAAAAGTACATGATTAACACATTACATTTCATTTATGCATTAAATACAAAAAAAAAATAATTAGCAAATATTTTTAAAAAAGCACATTGTTTTAAGAAAGTAGATATTTCTCTTTGGTGCATCATAGTCTAATAACCTATCTATGCAAAAATGTTATTCTGCTAATGAACTCGTATGGTTGTATGCAAAGCCTGGAGCTCATGGTCTTATGTCTGTCGTACGACTTATCCAACATCGCCCCCACTAAGCGACAGACGACGTAACGGCATCTGCTGATTGTCATTGACAGTCTGAACGAATAGTCATTGAAAACGATCCGTTGCACGCACGTTGTGGCATTTCATTCTTCATAGAATCACGTCGCCCAACGACCGTAGGACGAAGTGAGTGTATGGATTGGTTGATCAAAAAATTTAAAGAGAATCGCAAAGGACCTGGATAGCATCGCAAAGGACCTGGATAGCATCGCAAAGGACCTGGATAGCATCACAAAGGACCTGGATAGCATCACAAAGGACCTGGATATTACATAAATTGTCCATGTAGCACTATAAATACATCATCATCCTAGCAGAGATTTAGTTGTAGAAAACTACGATGTTTCAAAGTACTTAACAATATCCCAAAATATTTCACTAACCTGCAATCAATGATTTAACATTTGGAGCTATATTAAATACAAATTAACACACACTAGGTGTCAAAGTAAATACATACAGTAGTAATGTGTACATATGTAAAAAAGAAGAAAAACAATGCAAAACCAATCTGAAAACTGAATTGAAAGATGACCCACTGATTATAATAATCATTTATCGACAGTGATAAAAAATATGGTTACCAATACAAGAATTAAAATATGATACATGTCTATGAAGTGCAAACCCATAGGAATAGCGACAAGGCCTAGCATACCTAAATCAAGTCCTAAATCATCATCAGCAGCAAGCTGATCAGTAGCGAGCTCCTATTAAAGGCATTGGCAATCTAGGCCAACTTTACATGCCTAGCGTACTGCCATTCTCTTAGGGCTGTCTCTATTAATGTACAGTATATTTAATCTAGTCAATAAAACAGTACAAAACAAGCAAGATTTGCTGAGCAGGGCATATGCCCATATAAACACCTTCTCATAGACTAAACTAATAAGGATTTAATGAGCACTATCCATTCACTTCCATCCTATTACACAAGGCTGAATGAATAAAAAAAAGTCAGTTACACATTCAGTAGCATAATTTTATTTTTTGTAGGGCAATTTTTAAGCCTTTTTTTCCATTTTTGCTTTATGATGGAAAACAAAAATTAATTAAAGGATTACAAACAGCCAATTCTATGCATAGACTATAAACAGGGAAAATATTTTCTTGTTCTTATTAATTAAAAGGTAACACCTTGCTTAAATATACAAAGTATATGTGTACGGTATTGTATAGTTTATAAGCTTGAAAAGGAATGTCTATTTTGTTTGTTTCTGTGCACCGTACATTATTTACAAATGAATGAAGCATGAACGATAGCCCCCCTCTCCCACTAGGGATTTTTTTAGCATACGAGTTATAAGAGTTTGCCGAGTTGCTAACTCGGCATATAGTCGTAGGACGATTCGGGAAGCTCAGAGCTCGTATAGAGGTCCTTTCCCAAGCAAATTACATCACATATCTTACAAGTTTTAAACTAGGAGAACTCGTGCGACTCTTGGATGAAATCAACCTAGGTGGGAGAGGGGCTATAGTTTTTTATTTGTAGGGCTGTATGAATTTGATCATAACATTACTAGTCTTATACTCCTCACAAACACAACATACACATAGTGGTTCTTATTAGTTCCACATTTTAATGTACATGGTAACTTATGATAGTACATTTAAGGACATTGATAATAGTAACTATCTTAAACATCCACTGCTGAATCACTATGCAATATACAGTATCCATGCAGAGTGTAATATTTTTGCAATTGTAAAAATACAGAATACTGTACAGGCCAGGGGCGGATCCAGAGATGTCAAAAAAGGGGGGGGGCCGATCGAGACAACAATGTCCTAGGGGGTCCGGGGGCATTCCCCCGCGAAATTTTTGTGTTCTAGATGCCCGAAAATAACATTTGAGGCGTTGTGGGCTATCATTTTTTTCTTTTTCCTTCTTTTTTTCTTTTTGTTTTCCTTTTCTTACCTCCCTAAAGGGGGGGGGGGCCCGGGCCGGGCCCCTCCCCCCTTAATCCGCCCCTGCAGGCCTTGATTGAAGTCAGTACAACAAAAACTTTCTATATTTTAATTTCAACATAAATATTTGTTTCCTAAGTTGTAATTACAGTACAGTATGTGTATTTTTAATTTATGTATATTTTATATCTTCTGTGCCATCTATATTATTATTAAGATTTGCTCTATGTGTGTGCTTTACAACATGACGCAACTTGCTGATTGTCAGACATTTTGAGCAAAAATAAGATACGTCATTGCACAATTCATTAGGTATTGGTCTCCATGGAGTTGCGTTGGTGACCAAATCTCATTAATAGAAAATGATTACCAGTAGGGTGCAAATAAATGTCACAATTTTTGCAAGAACAATTTGATATTTTAGCATTTAACAGGACTAATACAGACTTTGTAAATTAAAGGATTAAATAACTAAAAACTGAGTATGCACTATTTTAAAAATGTCATAATATTAATATGTAGCTTTGATAGGAATAAAGAAAGGTTTAGATATTCCTATGACAAAATCTATTAACTCAAATTTAGGATTTAATGGCAAATTCATGATTTAACATTTGGAGCAATATAAATACAAATTAACACACACTAGGTGTCAAAGTAAATACATACTGTTCAGTAGTAATGTGTACATATGTAAAAAAGAAGAAAAACAATGCAAAACCAATCTGAAAACTGAATTGAAAGATGACCCACTGATTATAATAATCATTTATCGACAGTGATAAAAAATATGGTTACCAATACAAGAATTAAAATATGATACATGTCTATGAAGTGCAAACCCATAGGAATAGCGACAAGGCCTAGCATACCTAAATCAAGTCCTAAATCATCATCAGCAGCAAGCTGATCAGTAGCGAGCTCCTATTAAAGGCATTGGCAATCTAGGCCAACTTTACATGCCTAGCGTACTGCCATTCTCTTAGGGGGATTAATGTACTATTGTAAAGCCAAAAAATTCTAGGCCATACACATGCATATTCTACTCCATTACCAACAATCATTATTTCTAGTATCAAGGTAGTCTTCTTTCACAGGGCCCAGTTAATACCGTAAAACCTCATATAGAAGCACAATGGGTTTAGTCCCTTTAGTCTGCAAAAGTAGCCTTAAAAAGAAGCCTATCTCACAGGCTTCTTTTCAAGATAGTATAGAACATACACTGTACATGAATTTCAAAGGAAAATGAATAAATTAAAAATAAGCTTGTTTTATACAGCAGTTTAGGTGATTTAATGCCAGTTAATACACTCTATGATACAGGTTGATATTACAGTGACCCTGTTTATATATAGTAATAATTGTAAAATGTAGTCATTGAGGTATATTTCTTCATCAACCATAAATTAAATTAAATGTTGTGTATGTAAATTTGTATTACTGTCTTTAAATTGAGTTAAATATTAAAAATAATATTTTAATATTTGTATTGTTTACTTTGTACCTTTCACAAAATATTACCTTTGAAATGAAAATTACAAGATAAAAGGAAACAGATGCAAAAATAATGCAGTTTTTACAGTATATTCTTGTTCTGACCATTAAAATGACTGATAATATCCTGAAAACTGAATGTGTGAGATCTGTGTCTCACACTCTCATTGGAAATAACTTATTTGATCCTTTTAAAAAAACAATTCTTTATTTTATTGAGTTTGTAAAGTTTTTAACAGATTTCATTATCTGTAATTTTCATCAATGCCAAACAGCTTACCAAACATGTGCACTGTGTAAGAACCACATTCTCACAACAACACTCACTAATATTCTTACAACACTCACTGAGCTATATTCAGTAATTATTTACATTAATTATAGTAAGTCACAATGAGAAACATGATATGTAATATAACCTATTATATACCTCATACATAGATTCTAGGCATCTGATTGGTTAAGATAAGCGGGGCAATAAAAAGTACTATTCCCATCAAAAAGTACTATTCCCCTCAAAAACAGTACTTTTTTGACCTGTCGCAACGTGCAAACTCTAGGCCCACTACATCGCGCTGCTGACGGTAAGGGGGACGGCGACCTCCACCACAAAGTTATCCCCTGACCGCATCACGGATTAGCGAGTAGGCGATAAACAAATATGGAGGGTGCTCATTTTGAGATGAAGGAGGATCTCGAGATCTAGTCGAGTAGGCCTACGCCTAGTAGTAGTACGTCTAGTATCATTATGCCCCTAATATAACCGGCTAGGAACTAACTATTTTTTTAGGCCTCTATGCATGAGGTATATAAAACAAATATTGACTATCGACAGTAAATGGAACACCATCAAGGCTCTCGCCACACACAACACAGGTGAAACAAGCAGGGTGGTAAGGTTTTACTGTTGCTCGCAAGATCTATTAAAAAATGGTATCCATCTTTATTAAAATCAGATTAGACTATGAACTGCAATAGCACCATGATACACTTTCAGGAGGGGAAACCTCTCAGACATGGGATGGGAACTTACAGTGGAGGCCAGCATGACCCCTGGTCAGGGGATGAACCTCTACTGTGGTTTAGGGATGAATTCCTCCGGCTCCCTGAGGAACTAGGCACTTATTTAGGGTCAGAGTGAAGCTGTTCTAAAATGTTTTAGATTGTATTTCACCCATCGAGTAAACAACTATTTGTCTGGTCCTACAAGTAGTACAATATACTCTCATTATGTTCGCTGGTGATTTTCATTCATATTATCATGGCTTAATAGCTTTAAGAAAGTATAATACATACTACATACATACATATAATACATAATGTATTGAAATACACGCCATCGTGTTGGGATTCAATATTTCGACATTAATTATGTCATCATCAGGAATGATAGCTTTATTTTTTAACAAATTTCCTCATTAAGGGTGATGTAATGCTGCTAAGTCAATTTTAATATCCATGGTTTAAAGTAATGTCATCATGTAGTAATGCCTGGTCTCAAGAGAGCCTGAGTATCCGGATCGGGAGCTAACCGTTAGCGCTAACCATTAGCACCTGTGTGAGAACGCCTGCTAACACTTAGCAAGCGCTATCGGTTAGCAAGTTGAGCGCATTTCTATTATCAACCAATCACAAGTACACATTTACAATTTCCAGTTTCTTATTGGCCAGTGATTTGATCATTATATTCTTAGTGTCCAGATCGGGATTTTCTCCTATGGATGCACGGCAGCTAACGGTTAGCAGGATTCGGATCCTGCTAACCGTTAGCTGTCGTGAGAGAACATAGCCTAAGTGTCTGACACAAATGAAGGAAATGATTGAACTTACCCGCTCAGTGATTGGCTTGGAGCAAGTGGAACACTTCTCAAGAGACGACTAAAATGAAAAAAAAAAAAAAAATTATATGAACAACACCATTATCAGAGAAACTTTGTAAATTATTAAGCCATGTTTTTATTTTTTTTAAATAAATATATTATTTGGGCATACACTACTAGATTTCTGTCGAGGGATGGCACACATTACCCAGTACGACCACTGGGCGACAAATCCATCTCAGCTCCCTCTGTGAGAGCTTAACAACGTGACACCATCTGCTGTTTGATGTTGGCAGATTCAGTGCACACAAGCACTTACCAGCAGTTTAGGTGACTGCCTTAGTTGCTATTTCTTAGGCTTAACTATAAAGGGCTTCAGTAGCTTATATCATATTGAGAAATTGCCCTAATGTAAAGTCTACACTTGCAGCAAGGAGGTATAAAAATAATAAATAAATTATTTTTATACCTCCTTGCTTGCAGTTAGTAATCAAACAGATAGTGTACACAGAACTTACTATATAACAGTTCTCACAGAAAGCTTTAGACTCCATAGCATAGAATGGTTGTCCACGTAACTTGGTGTGACAGGTTTTCACACGTGAAGCATGCAACATGGAACACACGGTCCATAGCTGTGCACCCCGAGTCCTCTCCGACAACCTTCAGGCCGCATTGTGCACAAAGACCTGAACCAATTTTACACAAAAAAAAATGCAATTTAAACTTTTATAAATAATGTTATTTTTAAAATTAAAATTCACATACAAAAAAACCATTGTATTTGAATAACAGCATAACAAAGTTAGTGAGGCCTGATCACTTACTCATATTTAAGTTTTAAGTAGATAGCTGTAGCAGTCTATTCCAGCAAAGAAACCTTGTATATCGATACACAGCTTTAGGCAACTGAAATTGATTAAACTAGCTAGCTAAGCAGCTGCTGGCCGGCCGGTTGGATGAGGGGCGACAGACTGGAGGAACGATAGCGACCATATGACAAACACCTCATCTAAAGGCAATAAAACTAACTAACCATTTGACATTAAAGCAATTAGCAACTTTATAATAATCTGACATATACAATGTTCTGGAAAACAGCTTTGACATAACACTGCTCTATTCATTTGAATCTTTTATTAAAGTGTAGTGTATTCACCGAATATTAACTCTTAGGCGGGACTTTTTATACCTTGCGAACCCGCCGACTGCAAATACTGATTATTTCAAATAAAAACAAAATTTTATTTTTGGCCAATTAGCATACCCGTCGCCACCAAAAAGTGCAATTTCAGAGAAAAATAAAAGATATTTCTATATTTTTATTACGCCCTCTGCAGCCTTGAAATCTCCAAGGATAAGATATGTATTTCTTCTTAATTATATAAATTTGAAGCATTTAACCATCTTATTTTATTTTTATTTTCTCCTCCGTCTGGATGATTTTGGCAAAACTATTTGCTAAATAAGAAAACACACGAGAGTACGCAAAACAAGGAATAAACCAAGTCTCGCCTTATCTTCCAGATTTTTTCTAAAAAATATAAAAATTCATCTAGTAGAAAATCAATTTGCAGAATAGCGCAATGTCCTAAAACTAATCCTTTTTTTTTTGTAATTTTACAGACTTTAAATATTAATAACTCTTTCTATTATATCTTAATATAAGATTTCATTATTTACACCATCTCCAAAAAAATTATGACACATGGTAAACATATTGCTAGTCAAAATGCGCAGGCAGAGGACATCACACCTTACAGGTGTCGGGGGCAAGTGTATGCACCACAGTCAAATAGCAATACTATTTCTTTATCACATAATATGCTATACCTATTCCATGGCATTCCTTTGCCAGCTGTGTACCATATTCCAACTGAACTTTTTTTTAAATTCCAACTTCACCTTCATTACAGTAACTGCTGGCACACATAGACTTTCATAGACCCAAATCACACTTAAGAGTTACGTCATTTTTTAAGTCTGAACAATAAATTTTAAGCCGGCCCTGAGCCAACCTAAAGTTAGTCCGACTTTTGAGTCGGCTCAGGTCCCGCAATGCAGGACCTGGGCCTGTCTCTTATACACATCTAGATGTGTATAAGAGACAGCTCTAGGCCCACTACATCGCGCTGCTGACGGTNNACCTGTCTCTTATACACATCTAGATGTGTATAAGAGACAGGTATAGCGGTATCATTCTTTTTGTGAACGTCATCCTCACCAACCATGTGCGTTTTGTGTCGACGTTCGTGAAGTACTCACATGAATGTAGGTAAGAATGAAGGTGAAAATTGTAAATTTTTATTTAAAAAGTTTTATTTTTTCCTTTGAACTGAGATCAATATGTGATTTTTAAAATTTCTTTAAAAGCATTTGTTTTTTAACAATTACAGCAGATGCAAATAATGTTCTGAGAGATAATTGAAAAACAATGGCCATTGAATAACATATTTTGATAGTAGAAATAAAAGTGAATAACATTTTTTGATAGTAGAAATAAAAGTTTTAAAAACGTTATTTCATTAACAAAGTAGAGGAATGACATACAGTATACAGTACTTTAACTACCAAAATATGCAACTCATAGATAACCACAAACTTCACTTTTGTTATATCAAATGAATTAACTTTACATGTTATAAACAATGCAAATAAACAGTAGTTAAAGCATGTGGATCAATTGTGTGTTACAGAATTTTATTATTGGGGAGATTCCTTTTAAAAACTAAATTAGTTAAGATAAAAAAATGCATAATGACTCAAAAAAATCATTTTTAATTCAGAATTTGATTATTGGGGCCATTTTTACCTACCTGTCATATGGGGCCATTTTTACCGGGGCCATTTTTTCCGGGGCCATTATTTCCAGGGCCATTTTTTCTGGGGCCATTTTTTCCGGGGCCATTCTTACCATACACCACTCACATGACCCCGAGGACCGAAAAAAAATAATCGTTTGTTATTGTTATGAGCTAAGCTGGTTCTAAAAAGCGTCAAAAAATGTTTGTGAATGAATCTAATAAGAAAATAATTATTATTGCCAAATAGATAGATCTCGATGCTACTTATTCACAATCTGTGTCCAAACATTGACAGCAACCCTCAGTCTTACATAGGCCTATACACTTTACAATAAACAGGTATGGACTTTCGAGATCACGAGTCTGGTTTGGAACAGAGTAAAGTCAAGCTGCGCTAATTATGGGCCTTGGTTATTATATAATTATATAATTATTGTCGCCATAATCATGAAGCAGAAAAAGTATAAGGACAATATTTGAAATTAGGTTCATGTTTCGCGCGAATTCCATGTGTTTATGCTAGGTTGTGATTTACTGTTCCACCATCATGTAATGTGATCGCCTCGAACTTCATGTCCTGCAATTCATCGACCAGGCCCAAAGGAGAAATGTGAGCGTTCGTAAAAGGCCCTGGGCTGACTTAAAAAATAACTGTGAACAAGAAAATTTGTTTGAGTCGGCCCTAAGCCGACCCTAGGCCGGCCTAATATGTGTGATTGGGCCCATAGAGTGACAGCAAATACCAAGCTTTCTATATGCTACCTATTTGGGACAATGATGTGGGAAGTTGGGTTGGTGAAGAGATTGTCATTTCAACCTTGGTGTCCAATGTACTAGAGTGTATGATGAAACGGAATGGCCGCTAGTTTGAAAATACAATACTCTCTTTAGTTCAACAAGTAGACCAAAGAGGCCTTTAAACTAAAAACATTTAATCAGCATGAATGTAAATGGCAGTCAAGTCCAAGGTAAAACTATATTCATCCAAAAATAGGAAATATTAATAGCATGGCTAATACATGGGCCATGCTATATTGAGTCAATGTAGTAGGGGATACTGTACATACTGTACTAAATTTTCCTAGCATGGACGTGTGTAGCACTTATCATGTGAATTAAGTATAATGAATGAGCCAACTAACCAAAGTATTCTCCTTCGTCTGGCCGACTGTCCATATTCTGAACCAGAAGATTGGTCAGCTGGTCAATATAAGTTCATTCTTTGCAAAAAATATTAATAAATTGCCTAGGCTATAATGATACATTGAATCTAAAAATACTGAATTATCATTATGGCTTATTAATTTATTAATGATAGAGTAATTATAAA